CAAAACCAATTTAGTTCACGAGTGATTTAGACTTGATTTAAAGTGAGCCTGTCAGTGGTTGTTTATAGAGAGACAAGCAGTTTAGAGAGTGCTCTCAGTGAAAGGAAACGAAATTTGTTATATCTCAAGTTAACTCTTTCAAAGAATGTGTAAAAGTCCCACTGTGGTGTCCTGTGCTGCCATCTTTACTGATTAGGTCAGCAGTGAATTTTTAATATATTAATTTTACCATAATGTGGTAAAAGAAAAGTACATTTTTAAACAGATATTAGTTTATGGCATTATTTAACCATATTTGCTGTAATGCATAGGCAGATGGAACACGGGGCTACATTTCACCAGCCACTGTGCAAACTTTAGCAGACATTTATTTACTATTTTTCCCATACTGCACAAGGAAAGAGAAAATGTAGATTGAACTGAGAAAACTGGGGAGTCTGGGGAAGGGAATAGTGTCAATTGTCCTGTGATATTTTTAAGATTATTGATGAAATAAGGTTATCATTCTGGCCACAATGAGTTTTCTGTGGATTTGGCTACTGGACAAACCTTTCAAAGGAAGATCCTAATCACCTTTACATTATCCTGGTATTTTCTAGAAAGAGATTTAACGAGTCTTTGCATGAAGTGTAATTCAACGTAAAGTTTAAACTGATAAAGTATGATGCTCCTTTCAGTTTCCAGTAATATAAAACAAAATGGCACTAGAAATAAGTAATGGTAACAACTGAATAACATCTACTATTTATTAACTGAAGAAGTGTGGGAAGCTGTTCCCTCTGACTCCCGTAGCTTTATCCCAGACAATATAGTGAGAGCACTGAAAGAAGCACAGGCTTATAGAAAGTTACACTAAGCTTTGCAGAACACCAGCACCGTATCACTAGAGTACAAATGATGTCTATGGGGGATTATCTTTTCTTTTAAAAACAGAATTAGTTTACAAGTCAAAAATCTGTGGTTAAGCACAGCTGTGGCTGTATGGTTAATGACAATGCAGTCTACTCTGCATCGTGCAAGATTTAAAAAAAAAAAAAATGTTATCAAAACCTGTGTTGGCATCCCAAAGGTGTCAATCGTACACAAAACTTCGATTTCATTAAATCAGGTCACTGATGTAGTACTGATTCAAGGAGAAGTGATTGGATTATTGACTGACCGATATGATGTCATACCATGCAAATGCCTCTTGATGATTTTCTTTCCAGTCTCCCGTCTAGAGCAAAGATCAAAGGAATATTTTAACATGGAAAATGGTAATGAAAAGTGTATCTCTTACCATTTCAGGAAGGATTATAAGAATGCCAGAGAACAGTTCATCTTCCCTACACTTTTTTTTTCATATATCATAAGGCTGGTGACCTGAGGTGATGATGCTCTAGGACTATTTTTGTCTATTCTTCTCCTTTTCTACACTGTTTCTGTCTTCTCCCATTTTCTCTTACTGTTTCTGACATTCTTCCTTCATATGATTCCGGATGATTAGGTTTTCTTCCCTATTTTCTGGAGTTTATCAGTATACGCCAGATTAAAATCTGGAGCCTTTTAAAATATATACCACACCTTCCTGATTTTCTTTTCATGGCTTATAAATCTGCATGTGAAAAGAGGCTGTAGAAAGGCAGGGGTTGGTCTCTTCTCCCAAGTTACAGGCGATGGGACAAGAGGAAACGGCCTCAAGTTGCCCCAGGGGAGGTTCAGATTGGATATTAGGAAAAATTTTTACACTGAAAGGGCTATTAAGCCTTGGACTGGGCTGCCCAGGGAAGGGGTTGAGGCACCATCCCTGGAGGTGTTCAAAAGACATAGTGCCTAGAGACATGGTTTAGTGATGGTTTTTATCAGAGTTAGGTTGATGGTTGGACTAGATGATCTTAAAGGTCCCTTCCAACTAGAAAATTCTATGATTCTATCTATATTCGCAGATAATGTAGTTTCATAGGAGTTACAGGAGTTGCAGGGCAACTTGATTAGTGCTGAGGACCCAACATCCCATTACTCATATTTCAAGGAGCTTTACTCACACTAGGCCTAGTCTTGCCCCGTGGCCTGAATGCCCCTTAGCAACTGGAGTACCTGAGGCATGAGGCAGCCTTCTGGTGCAGGTTCATCTGAAAGAAATGGAGTTCATTTACTCTTGAGACCATTCCATGATGTGAACCAAGGCATTTCAACTGGAGCCAACAAGGTGGTTTATTTCAAAACCACGCTCCGGATCTCAACTCAAACACCAATATAGACATGTAACACATTTCAGCAACACATTCCAAATTTGTTTCTAATTTTACAGCCTCAGAATTCTGATATTTTCCTTGTTTCTTTCATGCATTATTCACTTTCTCCAGCTCATGTATGTAATTATCCAGTGCCTTTTCCTTGGGGCCATTCACAGGTGTACAGCCTAGGCAAAAGGTATTGCTGTTCTGCTTTGCTGTCATCCTTCATTTGCTTCTTGCATGTATAAAGGATAGCAGGATATCGTGAAATTGTGAAATCCACTTGGGAGAAGAGAAGTCCCTGGTCATTCGAGCATTTATGTGTTTCTTGCAGCTGAGATTAATTCAGCAGAATAAGGGAGAATTTACCCTCTTCTTAACCAAGTACAGTGACAGACTGCTTTGAGAGACAACAATAAGTCATTTGGGACTTTGTATACTAATTAGTATACTAATTCTTGTTATTGGCTGTGTTGTTTTTTTCTGTGTGGTTAGCTGTTACGTTTTCAAGCTTTGTATTATTTTGTAGAACATTTAAAAAACTCTTTTCTTTGCCTCATTGGGAATCACTCTTCTTTGTTATGAGGGTCTTACGGCATCAATAGTGAAATGTTAGAACATTGCTCATCTTGATAACAATAAACTCCTCAAAATTTGTTATGAGGCCTGTTATTTTTAATCCTCTCCACAGTAGCAAAAGTAAGACTGTAAAAAGAAATGGCCAATGTTGACATATACAGCTCAATAGAAGAATGTATGAAAATCGTTTTTTTAAAGGCGAAGACTAAAGTCTCTGTATTTTGGCAGTCAGCAGCAATGTTCTGTCTTTCTTCTGTAAACAAACACATTTAATAACTAGTTTTAGAGATCATCACCATCAAATCTAGATTTCCAGGAATAATCCGGTTTATTATTGCTTTTTTAATTAGCTAAACTGTGTAATGCTGATGTTAAAATCATTGAAAGCAGGCTTCTCCATGCTCCGCAAACGAAAGCAACCCAATATCTCATTTACATTCCTCTGCTGGTGTCTGCAGCAGATCTATAAATAGAATAGGCTACACGCAGAAATTTATTATTGCAGCTGATAGCAATTTTCTTTTGCAAAGGTGTCTGGAGGCATTATTCATGAGATTGGTTCTGGTAGACTCTCCAGCTGAGATTCTGGCTCCCCAGAACTGCGGGTGGTCAGTTTAGAAACACACTAATCAACCGCCGCCCGCAAAGACTGTCACAAGACTTAACTTATTTCCCTCTTGTAGAAAATACAGGAGTTCTCTGGGCTCCAGGTTGTTTTCTCTAACCTGATTGCATGCACTTTATAAGCAGCCAACGGATTTTTAGAAATCACACGTATTCGACATTTTATCACTGAACATCCTAATGATGATGGTGTTATCTGGGGAAAAACATAATGGCTGTGCTTTGATACAGCTCCCATCGTGTCTTCTGCACATGTGACCTTATCAAGTATAAGACAGACATGTTTCTGTTCAATACTGAGGATGTGTAGTAATCACAGGAACTGACCTATCTGGCTGTCATCTAATTTCAGTCATAGAACAAGGGGAAAATCAAGTTAAGACCTTTAATGACATTGTATTTATTATAAGTGATAGATGGGAATGTCTTACACTCCTGCTTTTCCTATCTGATTTTGATTTTCCTAGCATATCTGTCATCGTGCTATCTTTGTATACTAAAAAAAAAGATAGTTCATACAAACAGAATATGCACATTTGTATTTATCACCCCTCAAGACTGATTACAACTTATTTTTTCCCTTGCTTATTCTAATATTCTTTCTATGGCTGACAATAGAAGATGTCTGAAAGTAGGGATATTATTCTGATTCAATTTCAATATAATCACTACTGTAAGTATTCATATTTCAGTTTTTCTTTATATCTTACTGTGTTGTCACAAGCTATATGCAACACCTGAATGTAGAATTGACGTTTCCATTTGCAAAGTAAACTAGTAACTTTACATTTTTTGTTTTCACTTTCTTTCTTCCTTGTCAGATATAATAGAAGAGTTGTTTTTCTGTAGCAGTTATTTTGTCTGTTATGAAAGCAGCAGCACAAATAACTAGTGAGACATTAGAAAAGTCATGAAAGGAAAGACAAAAATATAAAATTAAGCCCAAAAGAACCCGTCAACTCAAGTCAGCCATAAAGCATTCTGGCATCTCTAATACCAGTTACACAAGCAAAAAAAAAATTAAGAGAGTAAAACCAGTAGAAATATATTACAATCATAAGTCAAATGTCACTGATTTTCTGTGTGTGTAAAACTCATCCTGGTTTTTTTAAGTGCATTTTGGTACTTACACGTATTTTTTTGTTTGTTTTTAATTTAAATTTGTCAGTGATGCAGAAAATTGGTTTTGTGAATGCCCTAAACTCTACTCTGGAAAACTCTGCCAGTTTGCAACTTGTGATGAAAATCCATGTGGAAATGGTGCTACGTGTTTTCCAAAGTCCAGACGAGATGCTGTTTGCCTTTGTCCGTACGGAAGATCTGGCATCCTCTGCAGTGATGGTAAGAACCTTATCCTTCATGCGTTGGCCATGGTTTCTATCAGTCAAGACGCCGTGGTGAGAAACAAGTCAAATGCTTTGAAGGCAAAACTCTGAAAGTGACCGTCACCCCACCTGCAAAAGGCATTGGCCATAGTTTCTATCAGTCAAGAAGCCGTGGTGAGAAACAAGTCAAATGCTTTGAAGGCAAAACTGTCACCCCACCTGCAAACACAGCCCCAAATCCAGCCACAAGCCAAGAATGTCTGAGCTGAGCATCCTCCCCGTGTGGTGTACTTGTGATGAAAATCCATGTGGAAATGGTGCTACGTGTTTTCCAAAGTCCAGACGAGATGCTGTTTGCCTTTGTCCGTACGGAAGATCTGGCATCCTCTGCAGTGATGGTAAGAACCTTATCCTTCATGCGTTGGCCATGGTTTCTATCAGTCAAGACGCCGTGGTGAGAAACAAGTCAAATGCTTTGAAGGCAAAACTCTGAAAGTGACCGTCACCCCACCTGCAAACACAGCCCCAAATCCAGCCACAAGCCAAGAATGTCTGAGCTGAGCATCCTCCCCATGTGGTGCTTCATAAGATCAAAGAAGTTGAGAGTAGACAAGCTAGGAAATACCAGGTGGTGTCTGATTTTTTAGTAATTCACCTGGAGAAAAGCTGAGACAGAGATTTGATTGAGAGCTCCTTTGGAGAAAATAATTTCCCCTCTAGTTTGATTTTTCCTCTACTTAGGGAAGCATTAATTTTTACATTTTGTAAATAAAATAAAATTTGATTAATTTCTTAGGTCAGAAGGAGGAACAAATTAAAAGTTACCAAGTGCTTTGCTCTGAAACCGGAATTGGGATGAAGGGAAATTAATAAAGCTAAGTAAATAGGTCATTTTGACTAATATTATCATATGAAGGGCTTTTATTCCTCAAGTGTTGATTATAATGATTGTTCTAGGTCAGAAATTCCTGTGTGTGAACATCCAAGGTATTCTTTTCCCCTAACACTCAATGTAGCGAGAAGAGAAGACTGAAAAAAATCTGCATATAGAAAATAATCACTGGTTCTGAGCTGATTTGGGAGTGCATATGTTGTGCCTTTTAAAGTAAATATTAAGCAATGTTCAGGTTGGATCAAAGGCTACATTGCCATTTTCTTCATAGTATATACAAATTTACCTCTTAATTGAAATTTTAGTGTACAAAATTTTCAGTAGATGAACATTTATGTTTTATCCATGTTTTCAACTAACTCTGATGGTTGATAGCCAACAGCAAATATGTAGGGAGGTGTATGAAACATGTATGATACTTCCTTGGTAATCTTACTTAACTTGCAGCAGCACAAGACCTTCATGTGCTGGGGTTGGTATCTGTGGTAGCCCTTGAAATATTTCTTTTCTTCCATGCACTTCTCTAATTTGTCTTTGGGTCCATGTAAACTTGATACACAACGTCCTATGGCAAAGAGTTCCAGAGTTTAAGTGCATAGGTTGTGAAGAAGTCCTTTCATTTGTTTGCTTACATGCACCAATTGCTAATGACATTGATCCCTCAAGCTTCTGTGCTTGAGGACGTTTCAGAGTCGTTCTATGTTTTATGACTATTTCCCTGTTGACCTTCTCCATGCCTCTCCTCATTTTATATATATCCTCATTATAACCTTCCCAAAAATTATTTCTTAATAGTCCAAGTTGATTCGATTTTATATTTATCCTTATTATAACCTTCCCAAAATTATTTCTTAATAGTCCAAGTTGATTCAGTCATTTCTGGGACCCCAGCCATGTGTAGTCATCCAGGCTGCCTTTCTTTGTTCCTTCTCAGTTCCACTGCATCCTCTTCAAAATTAGGGTCCGGAGCTGACCGCAATATTCAAGATGTGATAATGGCACTGCTTTATATACTGGTGTTTGACGTTTTTCTGTTTTACTCTCTGTCCTTTTCTTAACCACTTCTGCCATTCTATTTCCTTTTACGAATACGCTGACGTTTTCATGAAACTGATTATTAAAACTCCTAACACCTCTCTCTTTGAATGCTGACGTTGAGAGCCCACAGTTCTGTGTCAAGGCTAGGACTGTTTCTGTCATCTACTTCAATTTACATCTGTCAACACTGAGTATCATCTAACGCTTTTTCCCTCTTCAATAAGGCTCTTCCATAACCCTTTGTAGTTACCTGAGTAGAAATTGAGAGTCTGAGTGAAAATTGGGGGAGTCTAAATTGAGAGAAGGTAACTTGATTCGACTACAGAGCTTTGAAAGGACAGAAAAGAATGAAATGTTACTGGGTATAAGGGGAAAAATCTGTCTGGACCAACACAGGGAAGAACACCCAGCTTCACATGACAGATTATAAATCTAGAGCAAATAAGCCCACAACATAAAAAAAATATTGAATAAGAAAAATTATTTTATTGGAGTGCGTCTGGAGAGTTTAGAAGGAATAGAAATAAGCTGAGCACAGAGAGAAGGCTTGTTAAGGTGAACTTGGCATTGAAACAAAATGAGCTGCAAAAGGCCTTTTTATCACGTGTGCTAAAACTGAACGGAGGGGAGGAAGAGCCACAGTGCAGAGAATGCTGGGCGCAGCCTTAGGGGTAGCCCTGGCAGCAGCAAAGACATACATTTGGTGAGGTATTTGAAGATAATGATAGATTGGCCTAATTACCATGGAAGAACAAGGTCAATTATATTATAAAACAGATGAAAAATGTAATTGTTTACTCTAAAAATAAAAAAACATGAGTTGCCCAGATAATAAATTTATTAGAAAGAGATAGCCCACAAAATCTAAAGTGTGAGTACATGCATTTTTAAGGAATCATCTCCCACCAAAACAGATGAAAAATTTAATTGTTTACTCTAAAAATAAAAAAAATGAGTGGCCCTGTTAATAAATTTATTAGAAGGAGATAGTCCATAAAATCTAAAGTGTGGGTACATGCATTTTTAAGGAATCATCTCCCACTTAGGATATACCTAATATTGCCTGTACTATTAAGGTTAGTAACCAAGTGCGTGCTACTTAGTAACCAAGCACATCCCAAACCAAAATGCTGGCACAACGAGTTAAAAATACATCATTTTATGGGCAATGCACAACATTCTAAAAGTGAAAAAAACACTATAGGGCTACCATAAATATGACAAACAAGGACAAATTTAAGGACAGGCAGTAACTTCTATTAAACCAACCTATATAAATATGGAAAAACAGACATTCCCCTGGGACTAACAAGGACTTTTCTTTGGTTTTGAAGCAGATGGAGCACATTGCAGTCTAAGCAGGCTGGGAACAACTGCTCTGAGTTTATCTTAGTTCCATTATGCTTGTTTCAGCCAGCAAGAAAAGCTTCCAAAAAGCATGTACATTTTCCCAAACATACATAGTAAAGTACAGTATCTCTCACTACACAACTTTCCTTGCTTTTATCACTAGATGACCATGTTATTATGACTGCAGGTTGACCATTTTATATTGAAATATCTCTCAAGAAGCTACACAGTTATGGCAGAATGGGCTGACAGGGGATGATAATATAAATTAGAAGAGAGGAGAGGCTGTGCTGATCAGGCAAAGTACCTGGCCAGACAAGTGGACTGACTAGACAACTATTTACATGTGACTGGCCCTTTTTGTCCCTCTATCCCTCTGTTTTTTCACACCTGTTCCTCCCCAAATCACCTAATTCCTTCCTCCCCATCTTTGGTTCCTCCTTTAAACGTCCCATAAGTCCTGTGCTATTCCAAAATGCTCTTCACCCGCATCCCATAATGTGCCCCATAGAATCATAGAATCATAGAATTGCCCAGGCCGGAAGGGACCTCCA